AGAAAGTAAGTAAAAGTAAGAAAAGAAAAGAAAAAGAAAAAAAAAGAAATACGTTAAAAAGTAAACGTACGTCCCATGTATATATATATATATATATATATATACATATATACATTGTTGTTGGAACATTGGCATGTTGATGCTTGGTAAAAAACGAATGTCCGGTGTTGTCGATGAATTTTTTTTTTTTACTATCGACGATATCTAGATCTATCTGCGACGAGTTCTATTTTACATGACAATTACATTGCCGACGCAATATATCGCTGTTACAGTACCTATTGTTTCGCGCAATTAATTAATTAATACATGCGAGGGATTTCATTTTTTTTTCTTCAAATAGCCTGATTTACTGTGAATATCGTGCCGTAGGACTACTGCGGACTTTACAATTCTGTTAGTTTGGTTGTTTCACGTAATTAATTTACATGTGCAAAGAATTTCATTTTTTTCAAGTAGCCTTAATTAGATTTAACGTGAATTCTGTGCCATAAGATTTCTATGGTGTTTCACTGAGTTTGCATCGTGCAAGTGAAAATTCCAGAATTGTATTTTCTAGATGCCAAAGTTTTGTCTATTGTCAGTTTAACTGCTCACTGCTTTTGCGCATATTAAGATACTTAATCTTAAGATATTGTATATAAAGACATTTAAGAAACATAATACAAAAATTTGGATAAAATGTTAGATGTATATTCTAGAAATGTGGAATAACACTGGATATTTTAATATTACCAGACACTAAATATTGTATGAGTATTGTATGAGTCGAGATTTGTAGTTGAGTAACTTAATGCATGATAGTTGTTGGCGTATATGATGCAAAGTAGTCTGGTAATAGGTGATTAGATAGCGATATATCCATAATTGCTAAACAACGTTTGATAGTACAGTTGCCTCGTTATAATTTAAAACTAAAATATTAAATTTCAATTTCAATTTACGTCTTATATAATAAAGAGACTTGTCTCAGCTCTGTACGTGGTAAAAAATAGTATTTTCAAAGCAAAGCAGTGTTTTACTGCGCCACGTGAATTTTATTTTATTGAATTATTCTGAAAAGATCTAATTGTAAATATAAATGCGAAAAGAAGAAAATAAATGTAAATTTCATGTATTTATAATTTATGTTAAAAATTAGCATGTGTTTGTCTTAAATGATGTACATGTGTACGATGCTTTGTATGTTCTGTGTCTTCTAATGTTGTAGAACGAATATCTTTCTACTCTTTTGATTATCCCCGAAATGTATACATAGGCACGTCCTTGATATTATAAAGATTTATCTATTGTAATTTTAAAATTAATATATAAAATATATGCTGTCTTAGTATTAGTGTTATTTTAACATTGACATTTACATAATTAATATACTAAATAAAAATATCTCAGAAAATGTATGCAAGTGGCATTTTTTGAAAAATAAAGGAATAAAGTCTAAGATTATTGATACTCTTGACGTGTTCTTGTTTGTACAAAGTTGTGACTTTTATACAATTGATTGCTATCTTACTTGTATCAAAGTAAGTTTCATCTTTTATGATACAATTTTGATAGCGAGAACAAATCTGTTGCTGAGTAATTCTGTGTAATAAATCGCATTTATGTTTGTCAAGCCAACTAATTAAATGTACATGTGATTTAATAGAGATAGGATGCCTCCAAGACGAGCGGAAGATGTGCCTATGAAGAGAGTGGCAGCTGCGGGATGTAAATTACCAGAACAACTGCCAGCAGGGGAAATCTTGACGGATATTACACAGAATAAATGGAGACTGGGGAATACCATTGGATATGGTGGTTTCGGAGATATATATCTCGGTAAATAATTAACTTTAATAATCTATTTTGCTTATAATTTTATGTCTTAAGTAATTTGTATTGTGTACTCTTTCTTTATATACAGAATTATGTATAGATTATAATATTATTTGTTCTTCTACAGCTTCTAATGATATTACATCACCTGTGGGTCAAGATGCAAAATATGTTGTGAAGATCGAACCTCATAATAATGGGCCATTGTTCGTTGAAATGAATTTTTATATAAGAGCAGCACGCAAGCACATGAGTGAGTAATATACATGTAATAAAATTTATTTTCAATTATATTTGTAATTTAAATATGTATATATGTATACACATACATACATACAAAGTGAATATAAGTATCTTTGACACGTTTTGATACATTTTATAGTCGAAAGTTGGTGCGAGTCTCAGGGAAAGAGAAAAATCGGCGTTCCTACGTACGAGGGATCGGGATCTCACATCTATGGAGGTCAGCGGTACAGGTTTCTAGTAATACCGAGATATGGAGTCGATATTGGAAAATTATTCCTATCGCATAGAAAAAATTACCACCAAGACTCGTCAATACATTAGCTGTGCAAATGGTAAATTTCGCGCTTAGAATCACGCGTCGTAATTAATTGTTGATTGAATTGAGCTTGAGATTATTCAAAAATTGTAATTTCTATTTGTTTTCATAGCTGGATGCGCTGGAATACATTCACAGTAAAGGATATGCTCATGCGGATATTAAGGGACCAAATATTTTGCTGTCGTACGGAGACGGAATAGGAAAGGAAAAATCTATGGCGTACTTAGTAGATTACGGATTGGCGTATCGTTTTCGCACTGGAACTGGTGAACATAAACCATTTGTACATGACGAAAGAAGAGCTCACGAGGGCACTTTAGATTACGCATCGCGGGACGCTCATCATGGAAGTATGTCGATTATTTTCAATGTTGACATGTTCGCGTGCTTTCATAATTTCTTTTATACGTTAAAATTACAAAAAAAAATATATAAGATTTTCTTTCTTAAGAAACATTTATAGAAGTAATTGAGCTATAAAAAGAATATATTAAATTATTAAATAAAGAGAGAGTAGTTTAATGCACGACTATATATGAATGGAACTTTCTCCTATTCGCCTATTACTAAGTCTATTACTTAGAGGGGCTAAAAATTACTGCATTCTTTCTTTCATTAAATAAAATGTTTTTCAGCACATTCAAGGAGAGGAGATTTAGAGACTTTAGGATATAATATTATACAATGGTTATGCGGAAGACTACCTTGGGAGAAAGATAATGATATGAGTTTTGCCATGGATCCAGAGGTAGTTCACCAACAAAAAGAGATGTTTTTATCAGACTTGCCTCTATTTATGGACAAGTGCTTCCCTCACAAGAAAAAACCACCAGGTTAGTAAAGATATCATAAATCGATAATGTCTTAAAGAAGAAGATTTATACAGTATGCATTTATATTATTTTATAATATATGTATTTTTAGCTGCAGTCATGAAATATATGAAGTACATTACCGAGTTAGAATTTGAGACCAAGCCCAATTATTCCTATTTACGGAATTTGTTTTTACATAGTGGCAGCCAAGGTGGCAATATTCCTACATGTCTTTACAATATGAAAGAGTCCAACGAAAATCTTACGAGCTCTATATTTTTTGAGCGTCCATATTTGAGAGAAAGGAAACCTTGCAGGCCTGTGAATGGCGAGGTAGGAAAATAATTTAAATTTTAAATATCTGCCAATTTATAAATTTATAATCATATTAATTATTGCTTTGATGTGATGTGTTTTAGATACGAATAACACGAAATACGCAGCCTAAGCAACCAGTTCAGAAAAAAGAGTTCAGTTGGGAAGCAGTATTGGCGCTGCATCCGGACAAACTTGCAAAAATCAGTACTCAACTGCCACCTTCTCCTCTCACACCACCTCTCACACCACCATCATCGTCATCATCGCGATCACCGTCTCTGCCAACATATGCAATGTTAGAAGTACTTCGTAAAATGAAGGAAAGGCAATCAGGTGTATTTAGGCATAAAGCAACGCCAAAATCATCGGAGTGAGTATCTAGTTTCATTAGTTTGTGTTTTTTTTTTATTTATTTTATTTACATTTACATATACTAATATTTGTTCTAATGTCTTGTTTGTCAGTAATGAACTCAAAACAAAATGGATGACGCCAGCGATGGAAGAAATCGCACGTTTAAGGAAAAAGATCGAGACATCCGTTTCGAACTCCCAAAGTAATTCACGTGTGACACGTTCACGTGTCGCAAAGAGAAAACGTAAGATGATACTTTTATTATATAAAACAAAAACTAAAACAATGCGATTTATTATATTTTTAATTAAAAGTATATTATATTTAGGGGATAATTTATTATCCAATCTTAATTAGTTTTTAAATACTATCGATTTTGCTTATTAACAATGAATTGATGTATTCGGTCAATTATTTTTAGTATTGTGGGAAAGTTTACAAAAAAATCATTTGACTTTTATATAAATTAAAAAAAATATTAAATTATGTATAAGAGATGTCATTGATACTTCTTGTTTTTTGTCAAAAGTTTGTTAAAAAATTCATGTAGTAGTGTGTTAAAATCATTATATGTTTCTTGATTTAGAAATAATATATGTACGATATATTATTTACGATGTATTTATACATTATAGGATTTGAAACTCAGGAGCAACATAAAGAAGTAAAAGATGATCCGACTGATAGCAAAGTTACGCATAAAAGAAGGAAAATCTCATCTTCTTAAAGAAAATTGGGTCCTATTATACAGATAATCATCAGCATTCTCTTTAATAGGAAGTATGAAATTAAGTATTATTTGGATAAAATCTCATCTGTTGACGATGTTATGGATACGCGCCAATTCGTTTAAGACTGCTTTTTCATTACATAATTTGCTCTTTAACGTTATCCAGTATACATAAGATTTCTAAATAGTTGTATAGCGAACAAAATAGTAATATTAATGAATAATGCTAAGTGACTTCCTCTTATGAAACTGCAGAGATTCAATAGAATTAATATGTTAATGTAGAAATGTTGACCATGCGAATGTCTTAATATTTTTGAATGACGCAATGCTGTTGATTTGAGATCGCATAATTAATTTCGCAATTTATTTATTAGGTCAAATTTATTTAACATTAATGTCGTGCAGCGTTAGATAAGATGTTCAATTTTTCATCTATATATTTATAATCTGGATTGGACGTACGTGATCATGATTCATTTAACCGACAATGTAACAAGCTGTTATGAAATTTATTATTTAATCTCTTGTTCTCTAAGAAGATAAAATACGATAATCAGATACAAAGATAAATTTATGTGATTATACAAAAATTATTATAGAAAAGTTATAACGAATAATTATACATCACAAAATTTTGGTTTAAGAATTCTTGTGCAATATAGATTATAAAAAATATCAAGAAAGGGAAGAGATGATGTGGATTGTCGTGCTTTTTGTAAAATCTTGTTTTCCATAACTACTGTGTCTTTCCCTATTTAAACTGCTCAAGGATTATTGTAAAATATTAAGGAATTATCATATGGATGCGATTTTGTCAACGTTTTCATACAAGATCGACCGGTGTAGAAAAAAAAAAATAACACTGATTCTTTCCGCATTACGCACGTCACATGCTTTTAAGATCATCTCTGTAAATACTTTATTAAATGAATTCATTTTACTAATTTATACAATAATATATTCAAAAACATTAACTTCGATGATACATACTTGCTATAAAAATCTGTATGTAATATATATTAAATTTACATCACGACATAAAATTGATGCTAATGTTGTAGATAAGATTCATTACAGAGAAACATTAGCAATACGATCAAATAAAAAATTAGTTTCTTTTATACTGTACGAATGAAAGATTTGATAAATCTCTGAGTTTATTATCGAATATATTATGCGGTTTAGTCAATTTTATTTTCACACTACGCTGTGACCTTTTACCTTCGATAGTTTTAAATAAGGATGTCGATTAGATTTAAGAAACTTTATGTTCAATTATTGTTAGCAGTTTCATTTTTAGTGATTCGTTTATAGATTTATGTTAGAATTTTTTTACAATACATTTGTGATAATTTATTTGTATCATTTAAGTTATATATACATATATGTATGTGTACCTGTGTGCCACGAGACATATGTTTGAGACTAATTATCATCGATCACGCATTATTTGTATTTACATTCTTTTTCTAGTATTCCATTTGCGATATTGTCATTTTGTTTAAGTAGAAAATGGTGGATTAATTTGCAGAAAGCCAAGAAATTATCTATTCAATAAAATTCTCTGTGAGAAAGATTTGAAAGGATAATGGGTTCTAAGTTTTCGCAGGAAAAACGTCCAATATCCTTGTACGGCCAAATATATTATTACATTACTTTGTATATATATTCTGGCAATAAAACAGATGACTTTATTACGGTAATAATTAAAGTCACAGCGCAACAAGGGCGCGTTCTCCTAAGTATTGTTAGAGAAACGACTATTATTTTGTAAGACGCAATAACTTAAGTTCGAGCGAGAGAGATGTAATTACTAGATAACAAAAAAAGAAATATATGTGACAAACTGTGTACTAGATTATGTACTCGCATCGGCATTTTCTTATAGCAATCTTGTACATGTACGTTGTTTATTACGATGCGAAATATAAGGCGAATATGTATAATCAATAGATTGAGTGATTTTTTTTTCTTTCATATATTACTGTTGCATGCAACATTATAAATATATGTATACATAACGTTTTTTCTAAAATTGTTAAATGTATGTGTTAATAATTACTGCAAAATGTATGTCATATATGAACAATGGTTCATTCGATCATTACTACCTATGAATCAAATATAATCGATAGTTTTTTTTTTATTACGTTTGAAATAGAAATGATGTAAAATTACAATATATTTGATATATTTATTGCAAATTTATCAAGGAAGTTGTAAAGTAATTATCGCGTTCGAGTTTAATTTCTTCTGAAAGTTGTTAAAGGATAACACCTTAACGATTTCAAAAAAATCGACTTTTTGGTGATTTTTCAAAATGTGAAACCGAACAAAAATCAAAGCCCAATTTCGAATTTCTCGATTAAGATTTTCTCTTGATGTGCCTGGAAATGGAATTGAAAAAAGAAAACGATCGCGGTCAATATTCGAAAGGCGCCCCCCCCCCCGGAAGACAAAAAAGGCATGCTCTCGAATCTCGGAATTTTTCGGGAAGCGAGATAATTTCGTTTCACGACGGGTTAAGGGGCGACGTCCTAACATTCAGAGAGCATTCTCCATTCATTCCGCCGTCGGATGCAACGGCGAGTGTTGGCCGTCTAATAATAGAACGGCGAACGATTCCGTGGAGACGTATCGTGTGCGCATAAGCGGGGCCCCTAATATATACGAGTGTGTAGGTGCGTGTATTCCGCACTCCTCCAAAAAATAAACGCGACCCAGGCGCGCTGTGGGACGGGAGGGAGGTAGGGAAGTTGTAAGAATGTGTAGCAACGACTTTCACGACGCTTGAGTCGAGCGTATATATATATATATATATATATATATATATATATGTGTGTGTGTGTGTGTGTGTGTGTGTGTGTGTAATGTTCGGGAAATCTTTTATTTTGAGAGAGGAGACGTTACGCCGCTCGTTAATATTCTACGCAATACGTGTCTCGGTTCCACTTTCTCATCGAAACACCTCAGATATATCTTCCGAAACCGCGTTTTCGACGGTTCCAAGAAAGATTTCGCCATAAAGGCCGTCGGAGGTCTCACTTGGTCTCATTATGTATTGCACACCAGTATTGAACAAATCTCAATAATATACTAGTATTTATTTTAAAGGCTCTCCCACGTCGCGGGCTTTCGTAAAAAGAAAAAAAAAAAATGCCTATTTCGATACTCTTGCGTAACTTTTTTAATGATACATTGCAGATACATTGAGAACATATTACATCTGGTTTTGCAATTTTTATTACATTTGAAATTTTTATTACACATGATGAAAATACTATGAAAAGCTTACATATTATTCTACATTGTATTTAAAAATAATACAATTTAACGGCGGTTTAGAATCCGGATCACAAAAATTGTTTAAATAAATAAGTAGAAGTGTACTCTAATGGAAATGTAATTGAGAAATAATAACAAAAATCTCAACTTTTTTATGTAAGTAATTTAAGTTAATTCAAGATAATTATTACAAAATAATTAATCTCTGCAGTGCAATGAATCTTTACATAAATAATATTGAATATTTAAAGTACTTATACATATAAAAAACTTTTTTGGTCATTATTTCTTAATTACACTTCTATTAAAGCACATTTCTACTTTAAATAATTTAAATAATTTTTATGATCTAAGTTGCCGTAAATTTTTTTTTATTACTTTTAAATTTGACCTAGAATAATCTCTAGCTTTTTATAATTTTTTCATCGTCAATGAAAATAGGTGTAATATATACTCTTTAAATTGATTTAGAGAGAAGATCTATCTGTCCATTTTAAAAATGTTACGCAAGAATAACATTTTCTTTTCTCTCAGAGAAGGTTTATTCAAACATTCTCCAGAAATGCAGGGTATTCGAATGGAGCCTATATATCTCGCGGAATTTACAGGAACGTCCGTTGGTCCCCGCGGGAGCGTTCACCCTCCGGCGATTTTCGGCGCGGCGCGGCGTGACGTCGCGTCGCGCCGCGCCGCGTCGCGCCGCGCCGCGCGTCCACCCGTCGGTGTCAGTCGCGTTTCATCTTGCGTCCGCGTCGCGTGCGATGCGCAGAGCGCGCGAGCGTTGCCCGCGATCGCTCATCCTCTTCGGCGAGTTTTGGCGCGCCGGCCCGGCCCGGCCCGACCTGGTCCGGCCCGGCCGCGTCGGTCAGTGGTGTGTCAGTCGCGTTCCGTCCGTCGTGCGCGCGCGTCTTTCGTTCGTTCGCGATCGTTCGCTCTCCCTTCGTGGAGCACGGCGAGAGTTTCGGCGCCGAAAGAAACATGTCAGTCGCGTTTGTCGCGCGTTCGTGGACGCGTGGTCGTATCACCGCTCGGCGACCTGCCGGACGTCGCGCGACGTGATCGCGTTTGTGGCGCGCGTCGCAGGAGTAATAAACCGTTGACAATAATAATAACGTGGACGCGATCGACGAGGGATTGCTCGACGGGGGACGCGCGCGTCGCGATGGGCAGCGAGGCGGACGCGGAAGCTGCGAACGCCAACGCCGTGGATTCTGACGGTTCGGTCAGCTGGGAGGACTTTTTCGGTGAGTAAGGAAAAAAACAAATGTGTATATATATAACATAACAGTAAAAAGCGGGAGATCCAGATTCGATCCCTAGCGGGGAGATATATTTTTTTCTGAGAGGTTATATTTTCGCAATAAAAGTTTCCTTACAATTTTTCGATTATTATTATTATAAGATATTGGTGGAGAAAGTATAGCGTTCGACTGTTGTGTTTTCAGTTTCTAAGTAAACGGCTCGTAGTTACAAATAAAAAAAATGACTTATTATAAATTAATTAAATTAAAAAAAAAAAATAGACGCTCAAAATCTCGCCAAGATGTATATCAATTCTGTGTATGTATAGCAATTCTCTTTATTGTCTCTGTATAACAATAATAAACACGAGCGTGTATATATTTTGTTTACGCTTTTGCTGTTCGCGATTTGCGGATCGCAACTGCGCGTGCATGCGTGCCTCGATTGTGCGTCGCGACTCCAACTTTGAAGTGCAACGCGAAACGGCGTGCACTTCACGGCAGTTCGACTACCGCATAACGTCAGGCATAAGCGGATAAAAGTGCGGGCGTGCACTCTTGAAACCGACACGACTCGGATTAATGCGCGTCTCGCGCGCGTCCATCGCGTCTAATAACGCGATCGTCTTCTCTCCCGGCGCGTTTAACTTCGTTTTGAAAGACGCGATCGCGCGGAACTCTCGTGCTGCGTATGAACTTAGAGAATTACTCGGCACCACCGCGCGTTACGTTTCTTATGCCTTATGCGAAGCAGGCATTTAGAAACCGGAAAAAGGTAAAAGAAAAAGAATATAAATACACGTAGAAAGTACAGTCGGAGAGAGAGAGAGAGAGAGAGAGAGAGAGAGAGAGAGAGAGAGAGAGAGAGAGAGAGAGAGAGAGAGAGAGAGAGAGAGAGA